GAACTGTAAATAAAGCAGCAGTGCAAACAATTATCTCTTCTAGTTATGACCTTTCTATTTGGTTGCTGCTTGATGTAGGTTGCTAACCTACATACATACATTTGAATAACTAAAAAATTATAAATTACTACATGATCATCATAGAATTCCACTATAATTTATCAAGTTTAGTAATTAAGATGTATTTTAATCTAAATACCTAGGAAATTTTGAGCAGACTTAAGACACACACCCTACCTCCTAAGTCAATTAAAATAGCTGAAAAAGCCACTAGGATGACACTAAGCTTCCAATTGGTTATTCATGTCATATATAGAAGTAAGTATATATAAGAGAGCATTTCTAAGAGTGGAAAGAGGTGGGCAGAATTTGATTTATTACGTGAGCAATATCTTAGCAAATAGAAATGATAAGATGTTCTTATTTTATATTCTAGCTTTTCAATATTGGTAATTTGAGTTTCTAATTCGTACAAAACTACAGACTTAGTATTTTGACTTCACAAACATCTAATATGAACTAGTGCTGCATTAAACATACCATTTACTAGTTATGAATATAAATAGTGGTTATGTTTTATGTTCTAAGTGTGCCAGTAATAATCGAAAATTTATGTATTGTATGTATATACCATGTAATGGAAAACTAGAGAAATCTCATCAGTACCCTTAGTGGCCATCCCCACTGACTGATGTATAGTTAGTCATCACTAGAGCTATGAAATCCATGCATTTTAAATAACTTCTTGACACATCTCAAATAATTCCTAGTTGATTAAACTACATTTGACAAATGCAAATGCCTAGTAGTAGTTAAAAGGACAAACACTCAAGTTTCTATCAAATCATAATAGGATAAAGAGATGTGTGTATATATAAGTACATTGTTATAACAAACTCACCTTTACATATATATTACCATAGTTCATTAGTGCACAAATTATAGATGAATATAACCAAGCTCATTTCATATGTATACTAGTGATTGATTGTAACAAATACATTTATGAATTTTGATGTAACAATGTGTTTTTCAAACCCTGTAATCTCAACACAATTTCAACTTTATCATGGTATTAGTTCTCATTCCTACTTCAGACTTTTCTTTCTTAATGTGTCACATTACTGAACAAAATATATCAATACATTAAATACAAATTGACTTTTGTGCTTAATCTAAAATCATTTTCACTCTTGTCTAATTAATGTGAGTAATATATTTTTTAATGTTCAAAAATAAATGTAATTTTCAAGAAATTATAAAATTCATAAGATTTTCAAAGATGATCTGATTCTACCTCTTGTATCACTTCATCTTCTTTGTTTGGAAGATGTAAAATGTATACATGACACTCTTGGTATAGCAACGAAAAATTTTCTTTATTCACTCATAACAAACAGTACTAATACCATAACAAGATGAATGATTCAAATTAATATTTCATCGAAACATGAATAAAACTGAAAACTGAACTATGACATCACATGTACCAAAATCATTGTGTTTGTTTTACTTTTCATGTATTATAAAATATATGCATAGCTGAATTAATTTAGTACGTTCCATAATATTAAAATGAAAAGTACTAAATTCAATTTGTATCAAATTACCAATTTAACCGATTTTCACATTTCATCGTTATCATTACCAATTTCTAAATTTGTAATTTATTCTATTGGCCAACACAAACAGCTACACACTAATTCACACAATAAAATTTAAGATAACTTAGTTTCCATTCTCTGAGTAAATCATATTCCCTCAAACCTGCACAACTCATTGTTAATTATATTTGCATATATTATCCTCTGGAGTTTGCCATTTTTATTAATTACATTATATTTTTCACTACTGAAAAGTTCAAGTGATTACCATTTATTTGGTAGGTATTGGAGTTATTTTATTTGAAATGCTTTTTTTAATTCCATCAGAACTGGCTACAAGCAACTTCAGTTTTTTGACATTCAGTTGTATAAACTGAAGATACCAGTGTGTTTTATAACAAATTATCACCCTTTTCCAGATGTGGGTGGTTGACATTTTTTTCCCTTCTCACAATGAAAATACATAACCAAACTGTAAAACTTAGAACTGTAAATAAATAACAACTGATTTCAGTTTTAAAATAATCATAATTTAATTTAGTTTTGTATACTTTTATGTTGCAAAATTCACAAAATTTTGTTGAGACAGATTAAAAAAAAAATATATATAAAAAATTTTCTTTTTAGCTGGGTTATGAATTTTAAAAGACACAGCAAAAACTAAGATTTCTCAGTGACCCACAAACTGGCCTGTCACAATGCTGTGAGGCCAGACTAGGTAAGAATATTTCTGCTAACAATATTCTTGGAAGAGAATTTTATATCTAATGTTTTTCGATAGAAGAAAGTTTCCATAGCTTTGAAACATGTAATTTAACATTTTATGGAAAAAATAATGTCTATAAAAACTATAAAAAAAATATTTGGAGATTTGTTGTTGTCCCATTCTTTAGAATCCATTGTTCTCTGCAGGAGCTACATCTAATCACTTGTCCACATCACCATGGGACTGGTAATTTCAGGTGTAAATTAAGAAAAAAAAAAAAACTTTCTGTGTAAAAACATATCACTTGTACAGAGCACAGTGATAAAAAACTAACACTACTTCCCGTGTTATTTTTTATTATACTAGTTAATTGTTTATCCTCTTTTAAAACCCAAATTTGTAACTGTGCATTACAAATTATGTCACTTTCTCATTGCCAAGTGACCATATATTATGAGCCTGTAAAATCAGAATGTATAAAAACTATATAGCAATATTAAAATAAATTCTTTTTTTTTAAAAAAAAAAGGTCAAAGGGCAAAGAAGACAAACAATAGAATTAAATACTGAATCCCAAAAGCAGTGTACTGGTAAAGTTCAAACAGTTTAAAAAATCAAGATTCAATGATTTCAAACATATAACTGGGTCCAAAAAGACCCTGTTCTCCTGTGTACCCGGTGCATATCCACCAGAGAAAAGACAGTAAATAAATGTGATAAGCATTGGAAACTTTTTTTGTTTGGAGGAGGGAAAAGAGGGGTGATTAAGTTTTTATTTAAATTTCTATCAAATATGAATGTTTTGTACTTCTTAAACATTCCATCTTAGCTTCATATTAGTAAATTAATTGTTACATACCCATTTTAATATTAGTGGAACATATTTTTGAATAATTGGAACTATACGAATGTATTTTAGTTGACCCCTAAATTTTATCTCTGCTTTGAAAACAACTTTGAATTGTCTATACATATATGAAGGGCCTGATCAGCATTTCCATTTTGTAAATAGTTTTAGTTTGGTAGGCTTCATTCCTTTTTTTCATTTCCTGTCCATCTTTAGGTTGTATTTGTTGTTGTTGTTTGTTATTAGGCACAAACCTACACAAAGGGTTATCTGTGCTCTGCCCACCGTAGGTATCTAAACCTAGTTTCTAGACATACAGCTGTGCCACTGGAGGACTTGGTTGTATTAAAAGGTGTAAATATTTCCATACATAATGTTAGGCCACTCACAGATAACATCATTTTTCCACAATATTATGTTTTTAATGTAATTCAGCAGTTCTCAACCACCTTATTACTTGTCCTAATGTATACAGGTATATTCAACAAGTAGTTTCAACTCTTAATAACTCTTTGGTCATAAATTTACCCTCTCCTTGCAAAATTTCATGAATGTAATAGTGGACTAGAAACAAGCTCTCCTAGCAGTAGCTATGGATACTAAGGATGATAATTTTGAAAAACTAGTCTTTAAGAGTGAGATGGATCTAGTATGCTCTTCTGATGGTGATAGTATTTTAATACCAAAGTTATTAAATTAATATAAAAGCTAAAAAATACTTAATCATTTCACATTAGTAATTTTTATTTGTAGTCAATGATGAGAACTGATTCTAGTACATATTAAACCGAAGTCACATGGTATTAATATTCCTTCTGAAATCAAATACAATAGTTAGGGAAAAAACACATTAAGTAAACAAATGAACAATTTAGCAAAAACTTGTAAATACAAGGGAGAAAATTATGTAAATAAGTATAAAAAAATTATATACACACACACACACACACATATATATATATATATATATATATA